AAAACCATTATACCCTGATTTCCCATTTTCAATGGGTTCAGGGTATAAAAATGAACTCTTTGCTTGGCCAAAGTTTGCTATTTAAGTAATAATGTAATTTGATATACAGATAAATAAATATAAAATCTAAGTCGTAGCATAATCAAGTCCCTCCCTGATGGTTAACAATCCTTGTAGATAACCTCAATACACATTCGGTAAGGGTATTAAGGGACGAACTTCAACCAACAATATGAGCAACAATGTATCCGACTAATGAAGACATTCCATTCTGATGCCTTATGCTCGATGAAGTATTCAACTATAATAAAAAAGAAGAAACAAGCCCGAAAACCGGTCCTTTCCATCTTTATTTTAAACGCGACGGTGTACATACATACATATGTACGCATATACATATATTCATAAATGGTACAGGCACATACATACATATGTATGTACATATATACATATGTTTGCTTTAGTTTCAGCTTTTGGTGCGTGCTTGCTGTGCTGCCCGCTCATGGCGTGCGTTTTTTTTCTATAAGGGTGTATGACACGTGCTAAATTTCTACAAAATAATACTTGCCTAAAAACTAAATTAAATGTACACTGTATAATAAGAACCGTCGTTATACCCGAAAGTCGCTATAACCGTAAAAGGTTGCTCATCAAATGTAGTTTGGGGACAAGAATTTTCGTCGCTATAATCGTACAGACGCTATAAGCGGAGTCATTATAACTTATGTATACTATAAATATGTATATGTATGTATATATATATATGTATGTACATATGTACATATGTGTATATCTAGTTTTAAGGCGTTTACGAAAGCAAACTAATACCATCGAAAGAGCCGCTAAGCTACAAATGATGAAAGTGTGTGTGTGCGCGCATGATTGTGTGTGTAACGCTCTCTTTTGCCTATATGTATATACATATGTATGTGTTTGTAGACGCATTCAATACATCTGTAAAGTCAATCTACTTATTTATAAGCAGACAAAAAGTAAAACAGGTTGCATAGGAGGAGTTTCATGATACGAACAAAATGGCGAATACGAAGTATCGCATCACTTACACAACACGTATTTTAGTTTATTAATACGGTTTGTCATTCAGTTTCAACTATGTACATATATACATACATACTTATATATACATATGTACATACATACCTATTAATGACAGTTGTATAAAATTCAAACTATATTATTTAAGCGCAAATTATATCTTATTACTGAGTAGGTATATTCATACATACATAAGTATGTGTATGTACATACATGCATATATGTATGTATATACATACATACATATATTAAAAGTTGGATATATAAAATTTATAGCGTATGCATGCATACCATACGGAAAATAAACTTATCATTTATTTCGATAGTTCATCGCATATCGATAATTAAATTCATTCTTAAATTAAGATTAAATGTGTAAGTCGGAACTTAGAATACGATGATTTCGTAACTTTCACATTTCGAACACGAACCTACATCAAAGAGCTTAAGGAATATGATATTTGTACATTTGTTGTCATTGATACAGGTAACTTGTTGTCCGACCGTTATCGTTTTGAGCGATAGTGAGTTCGATAATAAATCGTAAGGCTGAGTGACGTTTGAACAGGGTGGCAGCAGTGTGTCAATAATTTATCAGTGCTAAAGTAGTAGTAGTTCAAAGTACGTGTTGTTTATGTTGCCAGATTACAATATTTTAACGCGCCAAATTCGAATATTAAAATTTGTTTAGTGTTCGACATGACGTTTGCATTTTAATTCAAAATATTATATTATTAAAAAATTAATTATTTTTCTCTTTCTTTTCAACTTCACAGATTTAAAAGCGGTTATAACAGATTAAAAACAATATGATAATCGAAAAATTAATTATTCTTCTCTTCTTCCTTTTCAACTTCTGGGTACTCTAGCTTAACGCCTGGCTCGCATGTAAATATCGGACAGCAATAGGGAAATGGTGCCGTTTTGTTGGTCTTCTCCGTGTCCAGCTTACACTTATTATTAGCTAGCGATAAAGGCAAAGGACCGCAATCTTCTACAAGTTCCAATAACCTGTAAGTAAAGTCGAAAGTTTTTTAAGAAAACGGACTGTGATTCATTAAAGGTTCTTACTTTGATGAATCGTCTTCATTCTGCACGCACGTGGAACGACCGCAGAATGGCGTCAGCTCCCATGTCTTTCCGGGCTCAACGGTAGCACACCGAGTCGATGCAAAGCACATCCCAGGAAAATCTTCAAAAAAATTAAATATAATAGACACATAAATTATTTAAACAAAGATTGTTGTGATTATTTTGAATTTTTAAAATATACATTAGAACCAAATACATAATAGTATAAATTCAATTCAATACATTAGCAGTACTGGTTTTTTTTTTTTTTTTTATTTTTATTTTTTAGTATGAAATAATAAAGCCAGTTAATAGTTTGTTTTAATTCAAAATATTAATAATAACAAATGAGAAATTTTATGTTTTTAGTTTTAATCATATTTTCATAATTACTTTATAATACTCTTAAAAATCTACTTAAAAACAAAAACAAGGCTTTATATAATTTAAAAAATTTTTTATAAAAACTTCTGAAATTCTTAACTTATTTTATGCACACATACATACACATGCATCCACGCGGGCGGACGGACAGGCGGACAGGGCTATGTCGACTCAACTCGTAGTCCCGATTAAGAATATACATACTTTATGGGGTCTGCGATAATTCCCTCTAGTTTTCACAAAACCATTTCCCGTTTTCTATGTGTTCAGGGTATAATGAAGATTATTTAAAAATGTTTAAATTTATGTTCGATTTGCTTTCAAACCGTAACCCAGAAAAAAACAAGTAAGAAAGCTCTAATTAAGTCTGCTCGAAAAATTAATTACTGATTTTCGATAATGTTTTTAATCGATACCAAAATAACGGGACAAGTTATCGTTTTTTTAAAGACAACTCGATATGCACGTGGTATACACGGACCTAGCAAAAAAATTTCAAGTCTCGAGCTGTAATATCTTCTGAGATCGACGCGTTCAAGCATACGGACAGATGATCAGGGCCAAATCGACTCAGCTCGTCGCCCTGATCAAGAATATATATATATTTTGTGGGGTCAGCCACGATTGTTACATACTTTTAACAAAACCATTATACCCTGATTTCCCATTTTCAATGGGTTCACGGTATAAAAAACATCTAACGAGCATTTCAAACTGATACGCCTCAATTGAAGTAATGGCAAATGAAAAGCAAATTCTAAGTTTTGTGCAATTGTCAATCAAGTTTTTAATGCATATAAATACATATATACCTACATAAATGTATACATATGTATAAAGCTTTTTGGATTACGTCGATAAAAATGTATGACTCACCTCTAAGCACATCGGCCGGAATGAGACGTTTGTAAATTTTGATTTCACCATTTTTTTGGTCATCATTCGAGGCGTTTTTTTCGGTATCCGCCAAGGCAATGGAAGGTACCAATAGTAAGACCATGGTGAAACAAGTTAAAACTGCTATTAGCTTATTCATTTTTCGTTCTGTTTATCCCCTCTCTTCGTAAACGGCAAACATCAGGAGAAACAACAACAATGAATACAAAATTCAGCTCAGATCGACGATTCCGAACGCCGACCAATTCCGAAACGAGTCCGGTTTAAGCGAAAGTAAACATCGAATGAAACTAACCGACGAGTATCACAACTATTTATAGGCGAAATCGTGCTTGTGGATTTTCGAGTTTCTTTAGTAGTTGTTGCTTTTGTTGTTATTGTTGATGTATGTAGATATGAGTCGTCGGTAACTGTCAAAGCTCCGCTTTGTCAACTAGGTGTTAAATATATATGTATATATATATACCATGAAATATATATATATATATATGTCCAAACCGCAACTGTATGTGTATGTATAGGTACATATATTCATATAATACAGCTTATGGGGGCTTTTTTCCTAAAAACACTGCACACATACACATTGACAAATTTATGATTTATGCGCATAGCATTATTAAGCCGATCCTGCAGTCATGCCACCAAATTAGGTACATCCACATATTTCAGCTTTAAGTTAAAGACGTAACACACAATACTTAGTTACTTAGTCAAAACATTTTGATAAAAATTAGAAAAGCAGAAAATAGTTAAAAAAATACATGTGTGCATAGATTTTTCAGGTTGATTAATCGGGTTGGTGATATTATTGTTAAAGTGTGTTGTACTTTTTGTAGGCTATTTTAATTTTAGTTGACTCTAGTTTTATCAATATCTTTAAATAAGTACATAAATTCTGTAACATCAATTTTAGTTTAAATAATCGATTACATATAAACTGAAATCATATATGCCGTTAGATAAATATACTTGAAATAAAAAAAAAAAAAAATAAAGTCCTCGAACAATTTCCCTCTAAGTGGACTTTTCGATATTTAGGTTGGGATTTTAATTTTTGGTGAACGATTATAATGTATGATTTCAGACTGCATTCGGTCGATTTTAGTGCCAAATAAAATCTAAAATAAATTTCAAATACTTAAAATACTTAAAATTAAAATTAAAGTGCTGTCAATAACAAAATAATAAATATATTTATTGTAATTTAAAAAAAAATTCATATAGAATCTATCGGTTGATCACATCCGTAATATATTAGGGTAAGGGTAAAGTAAACTATCGATAAAAATGTATCTCCAATCGCTACACGTCAATTTTTAGTCACCAAAATTTGTGTGAAAATATACATATATTCTATTTGCTTGAACAGAAATCAGACGAGAAGATGGGATTGACCATATCCAGTTTACTAACGCGATTATTTGGCAAAAAACAAATGCGAATTTTAATGGGTAGGTATTGGATGCATCTATGACAAGCAATATGAGGCGTCAGTGGCAGCGCAAAGTGGTTAGCCACGCCAATACGTAATGTACTCCTTAAATAGACGGTAAAGTTCAAGCCACGCAGCCAAAATGCGGAACATGGCATGTTGATTTCACGCATTTCGCCATTCGTTTAAATTTATATGTTTACAATATGCATACAGGCACTGACAAATGCATGCATATTTACCCAGAGACACGTATATGAAAAGACATGGCTTTAACCTCTTTTTTTGCGCTTTTAAATGCCCAGTTGGTCTGGACGCTGCCGGAAAGACAACCATATTGTATAAATTGAAATTAGGCGAAATTGTAACAACCATTCCTACCATCGGATTTAATGTGGAGACCGTGGAATACAAAAATATATGCTTTACTGTTTGGGACGTCGGGGGCCAGGACAAAATTCGTCCACTGTGGCGTCATTATTTTCAAAATACACAAGGCCTAATTTTTGTTGTCGACTCGAACGATCGTGATCGACTAACCGAGGCTGAAAAGGAACTTCAAAATATGGTACATTTTATAAGATCTTGTATTGTTTATGCAAATGTTGTAATTTCTGCTTGGGTATTCATATTTAAGCTTCAAGAGGATGAGCTTAGGGATGCTGTTCTTTTGGTATTTGCAAACAAACAAGACCTACCCAATGCGATGAGTGCGGCCGAACTGACTGACAAGTTACATTTGAATCAATTGAGGAACCGCCATGTATGTCATATCTAATCAGGTAGCAATTTCTGCAAGCTGACTATTTTTTTTATATATTCTAGTGGTTTATTCAGTCCACTTGCGCTACCCAAGGACACGGCTTGTACGAGGGACTAGATTGGCTGTCAGCCGAATTGGCAAAAAAATGATTTTTAACTTTAACTACAATTATTTCCAATAAAGCGCTGATTGTCTTTTCTCTTCAACCATAATAAAAAAATACTTTTAAATAGATTCTATAAAAATAAATGTATGTGTATAATAAGTTCAATTGAAATTTACTCAAGTTTTTTTTTAACCGAACACCCAGTGAATTAAATATAGACTTGTTTAATTTTTTATATATGTATTTAACAGTTTTTAATCAACAATTTTAAATTACGGATACAAACAAAAAACAGTAAGACTCGCAGCAATCAAAACATAGTGTTTGTACAGTGTGTGCGTAGATGTATGTAAGAAATAAGGCAAAATATCCGAAAAATTAGTTATTTAGATGACATACAAATTGTAAAAAATATTATCCTTATATTTTTTAACCTTTCTCTATATCAAATGTAAGCCATAATACCTACAGGAAAAATCAAAAGAAAATATTAGACAAACGGAATGAATTCGTATAGATATATGTACAGTATACGCTGAAGACATGAGTACATAATATATAAGCAAATACAAATATTGCATACAATTTTAATAGTGACTGAATAACATATATACACATTGTACACACATGTACGATTGCTTTGTGACTCGAAAACATATATAACAATTGCATTTATGTAACAAAATTTTGATTAATACTTATTGCAAAATATAATCAAGCATTTCACAATGCCAGCAATAATACTAAGCTACTCCTCGACTGTGTGAACTTTGCTGATGCATTTGCTATGCTTGGCAATTGATTTAAGTTCGATTGCTTTCTCTCAAAGGTCAATATCTAAGGAATCGGGTGCCAATAGCATGGGTTCGCCATGGGACTCATCCACTAAAGATGAAAGTGAATGATCATTTATCATGACTGCAGAGAGGTCTACTGAATGATGATCGTCAACATCAACAGTACTATGTGGTTGCTGTGATGAAGATAGTAGTGGATCGCGCCCAGAGCCATCGCAATCGTTATTTAGCATGCCAAATGACGAACTCTGCTCGTTATGGCCTCTATGATCCGGATGCTGATGCCCTTGTCTTCGGTGCGGATACGAATGCGAGTGATCGGAATGGGTGCAAAACCTGCTGTTGTTATCACCATGGCTGCTGCTACTGCTGCCGGTGCCGGTGCAGGTAGGCTTCAGATCTGCACCACCTTGTGCTGTGGTAATATAAATGGCAGTCTCTCTATTGCACTGAAGTTGCGTGGCAACTGGCGAATGGCTGCTATGTGAGGACAACATCGGATCACCTCCCTGGAACGGGTGCTTACAATCTTCCATGAGTTCATCAATTTGATTCAAGCCCATACTTGGAGGATCACTGTTGATCAACGGAAGCTGAATAAAAAAAAAAAAAAAACAGCTTAAGTTTAGTGTTGTATTACGCTTAACTGAATCGTATTTATTATAACCTTGTCCTCAATAACATCCTCCATTAGGGACGTCGCTGTTTGATGATTTTGTCCAACAGATGAAGTTGTTGGTGATGGGCTGGAGCACTTAAGATACGAGATGGGAGGTGTGGGCGCTGATACAGATGTCAGGTTGTAATCAGAGAGAGAAATGCCATGCGATTTTGCCTGCAATTCTAATTCCTATTATAGAAGAGAGAGAGTCTGGAATGTCAACACCAATATCGATGCAAAGATATCGATGAAAATTCGTTTACCCGTATGCGAGATATGAGTTTTCTGTTCTGTAGCTCCATTTGGCGTTGGCGGGTTTCGTTTTGCCTTAAGCGCGAGACTTCATGTTTTAAGCATTTGATGTAATCAACCGAAGACTTTAGAATTGTTCCCTTATTGGGGCGTATGTCGCGTACAACCTCATAGAACGCTTCACTTCCCTTTGGCAACAGAGTGCCAAGCTCCTTGATTCGGTCGTTTATGTTGAAACGTCGACGACGCTCAACTGTTGTAGAACGTGAAAACGATATATTTATTGTCTATGACCAAATTGTTATTCTGATCAAATAACTTACTCATATTATGATTATCCTTTTTCTGTCGATCCTTTATTTCTGCATCGGTTAAATTTTGTGGTTCCTGCTTAATAGATAGCTCCGAACTGAAGTTTTTATCGAAATTAAAGGAATCATTTTGAAGTATGTCATCGAAGAGATCTTCTGCCTGCGAATATAAATACGATATCTATACAGAAACTTGATTTCTAAATTAGATTCCCTAGAAATTCAAATAATCGAAATCAAGACTAAATAAGAAATTGTATGAGTTATCAAAATAATATTTAACTGCGCAACGTTTATATGGAGACACAGTCATGACTAGATTTTCCTTCTGCCTAATACATACAGTTAAGCAATAAATAATAAAGCCGAATTTATAACTTCAGTTGAAACTTATGATGGCTTGATTATCATATCATACATATTAATCGGTTATTTTGTTTCTATGGGTAATACAGTTCTATCGGAAAAGGGGATGAAATTAATTGAAACCTTTAAAGGTTATTCGATCAAATAAACGTGTAATATTTAACAACAACAAAACTAAAATTCTGCTTTGTATTTGTGTATTTTTTTTCAGTAGCAGGATAACGCAATTTGCCATGATAGTTCGGGAGATATTTAGCTTTGTTATTAATCTTTTAATCTGAATCCTCCAAAATGTATAATTAAATGCAAAAAAATATTTCTAGAGTCTATTGAAACGCTAAAGAAAACGGTAAAGAAACCCAAATTGAAATTTTATATATATGTACTGATATTTTTCAAAATTTAGTCGATTCAGGCCCGACCAGGCTGACCAAAATTTTATTGAGTACTAAAAAGATATATATTCCATCAGATATGTAAAAAAAAAAAAAATAAATAAATAAACAATTCTAAATAAACCCGTTAAAAAGTTATGCTTAAAATACTCGTGAAAATAATTATGTCGATTAGTGTATTTCATATAATTTTAACCTTTTGATCACGTTCTGAAAGTTTCATTAAGATAATCGCATTACCAGATAAATAATTCAAGAAATAAATTCTCATAATATTGCCCACACTTCATCGTAGCCCAAGCGCTAAGCCAATGATAATATAAGCTGGCAGGGTCCAGGGTATCTCCTAGTCGAGCATTCTCGAATAGAGCACTTTTACTGTTTTTTATCATATATCCGGAATCCGTTGAAAATGGGAAATCATTGCAGAAGTAGGCGTGTCAGACCCATAAAGTAGATACGCTTGGCCCTCGCTTAACACAAACTCTCGTTCTTACACGAATGAGATTGCTGTGAATGAAGCAAACAATTCGAAATCAGATGACAGCAGCTCTGAAGAGACCGACCCGATTAGTTTAACGATAGAAAAGCTTAGAATCGTGCTTCTTAAATTTAGATCCGGTTGGAAAAAATACTTTTGCCTTACAAGGAGTGCTATAAAAAAGTTTGAAAAGCCACCAAACAATCGAAAATGACTGATTTTTTTGATAAGGCGTCACCAAAAAAGAAAACATGTTGAAACAAACTAGCTTAAACTATAAATACCACCAAATGAATTTCAAATTTGATTTGAATTGAACTTTTTTACATTTTTAAGTTTCTATAAAGTTTAACAAAATGATCATACGCAGAAAGAGGCGTGGCAGACCCCATAAAGTATATATATTCTTGATCAGCGCGACGAACTGAGTCGATATAGCCCTGTCCGTCTGCCCATCCGTATGAACGCCCACATTTCAGAAGTTATTAGAGCTAGAGAGCTGAAATTTGGCATGCATACTCGTGTAAAAGTTTATCATATTTTTTCGATAACTCATCCGAGAACAATTGAAAAATTGATTATGTTTTTTTCAGCCTCATTTGAATACTATTAGACCTGGACTCTTCTTGTATGTGTTTATAAAAGAAGTGAAGAATGATTAGAATATCAGCTTGGAGTGTTCAGGGTATCACCTAGTGGAGCAGTCTCGACTAGAGCCTTCTTACTTGTTTTTCATTAATTGTATTTTGAAAAGTATAATTTAATATGAAAATATAATTTGAAAATGGGTTTTTGAAAACTTTTTAATGAAATCTTAAGGAAAAGTAAGAAATCAACATTATTACTTACATCGCTGTCAAACGAAGGGAGCTGAAAACATACAAACAGATATATATATATAAGTGAGGATTTCAGTAAAATGTACAGGTTGATTTGGACTATACATATAGCCGAACGAAGCCTCTATCGATCAAAATACCAAAAGAGTAGAAGTCATTCAAGTCGATAGAAAATACAAATAACAAGTAAGAAAGCTCTAGTCGAGACAGCTCGACTACGAAATCCCCTGAGCCCTACAAGCAACTGATATTTCAATAATAATTAGCAAACAGACACACGCACACACGCATACAAACAAACACACGGATATACACACACTCACATATACAGGCGATTGCGCTTGGCTTGCGCTGCAGTGTTGGCAATAT